CAAAGGCGGGAATGGTACTAGTGCCAATAAGCCACTAAATCCCATATTCTTTACAAATACACATTCCTTTTTTTCTACAAAGGCAATATGTTTCCATTAGAGAATAATTAGAAAATACAAACAGGGCATTAAAAACTGCCATATTCATGCCCTGACCGGTTTGGCTCAGTGGATAGAGCGTCGGCCTGCGGACTGAAGGGTCCCGGGTTCGATTCTGGTCAAGGGCATGTACCTTGGTTGCGGGTGCATCCCCAGTGGGGAGTGTGCAGGAGGCAGCTGATCGATGTTTCTAACTCTCTATCCCTCTCTCCTCCTCTCTGTAAAAAATCAATAAAATATATATTTTTTTAAAAAAACAAAACTGCCATATTCCCACTTACCCAGAAACAATCATTAATAGCATCTTGGGGTCTCTCTCTCTCTCTCTCTCTCTCTCTCTCTCTCAAAAAGGGACTCTTACTCTACATTCGGTTCTATAACGCACTGTACAAAATTTTTGCTATAAAACACTTGCTGGACATTTACTTTGTTCCAACTAGTTTCCAGTATTGAGTATTTATGTTCTACCAACATTTTCCTATTATAAATATAAAAAGGGAATTATTGCTTGAAAACAAATTTGCAATTTATAAAAACAATTTATAAAGAATATAATCATAATCTGTATTTTGACTATTATGAGATTGTTTGCTTAGGTAGAAAGAGAAAACTAACTATTTTAAACATAAGGTAAAATGCCAGGTCTTTCCTATCCTGTTCATTTCTTTTGTTGGGGAGCAAAAAGCACTGTAGAATTTCCGAGCTGGGAATGCATGCAGGCCAGAGCCGGGGAGGAGCGTGATTTGCAGGCTGTTCTAGAACCGTCCTGCTGCCCTCTCTGTCTCTCTTCATGGAGTCAGACCTCTGATGAGAAAGCTGGTCTTCTGGAGTGTGCAGAAGGGTGACATGGAGACAAGGTGCCTTTAAGAGTAGACCCATTACTATGGCCACTTGGCAACCATTTCTCATATGTTATCTGTTAGAATGTTTTTGACTACTAGTGGCTGGACTTCCATTGGCTTTAAAAGTGAAGAAATGTATTATCTCACATAACGAGAAGTCCAGAGGTAGGACAGGCTCCCAGAATAGTGAGATAAGCCATTCAGTGATGTCACCAAGGGCTCAAGTCCTTTCAACACTCGGTCCTGCCTTTCTGGGTGTTGGCTCCATCCCGAGACTGGCTCCCTTCTTGGTGACTAGATGGCTGCCAGAGGCCACAGAGCTACCTGCTTCCTTGTCCACGTTTGGCAGGATATCAATTCTTTTCAGCTTAAGCAGACCAGTGGTTTCAATACTGTTGTACATTAAAATCACCAGGAGTGTTTTTGAATTATTTATGTATTAATATTTCATTTTAATTTTGTTTTATTTATTTATTTACTATTGTATTTTTTAACTGTCTAGGCCTTATCTTTAATTTTTTAAAAAAATTGATTTGGTTGAGAGAGAGGAAGGTGAGAGAGAGAAACATCGATTGCTTGCCTCCTGTGTGCACCCTGATTGGTGACTAAACATGAAGCCTGAGTATGTGCCCTGACTGGGAATCAAACGTGCCACCTGTTGGTGGTATAGGACGACACTCCAACCACCTGAGCCACACCGCCCAGGACCTTGGCCTTGTCTTTAGAAAATTAATTTATTATTCCAGGGTGGGGCCCAGCTGGAGGTAATTTTTAAAAGCTCCCAAGTGATTCTCATGTACAGCCAGGACAGAGAACCACTGGATTATGCTGGTTTAGGTGACCTGCCTATTGCTAGACTAACAGTCACCAGGATAATACTGATTAGCTTAGGAAAGTGGATCTCAGAATATGCTCCCTTTCTCCCCCCCCTCCCCCCGCCCCCCCAACAGAAGCAGCTCCAGGGAGCCTGTCAGAAATGCAAACTGATAATGGTGCCTGATAAGCACCACCCAGACCTATTAATTCAGAAACTCTGGGGGTGGGGTCAGCAATTTGTGTTTTAATAAGCTTTATTCTGATGGACTCCCTGCCTCATACCAGTCAAGCTCCTTCTGTGGAGCTGGGGAGCAGGGAAATGTGTGAGCAAAAGCTGAGGTCTTTGGGGCAGTGAGTCCCGGGGCACTGGACCCTTGAGCACTCCCTCCTCCCAGCACAGGCCAGAGACAGAAAAAGGGATCAGCACCTGAATCCGGGAGACTCCTGGCTGTGCAGAGAAGGCCTCTGAATGTTGCCACCAAGCCTAAGTCCCTGCAATGGGCTCTCAGGAGCAGAAGAAGCCATGTTCTGTTGGTATCCAATCCTTTTACCCCAGGGGACTCTAGAAGTTTCTAGGAGCTAAAGGACTGAAAAGACTGACTTGGCGTACACTTTCCCGAAAACATTGTGAACTAATTTTAACCACAGTGCAATTTCACTAGGGTCCTGGAAAAGAAAAAGACCATTAGGTAAAAACAAAGGAGATCTGCATACAATAAGGACTTTAGTTAATAATATATCAGTATTCATTTATAAACTGTGACATATGTACCATACTCATGTCACATGTCTACAGGGGAAACGGGGTGTGGGGTTTATGGGAACTCTGTGAAATCAACTTTCTTTCCTGCAGATCTAAAACTGTTCTAAAATAAAAGGTTCTTTTAAATATGACACATTAAGAGGTGAAATTCTAACAGATGGAAACACCTTTGTAAAGGGTTTATTAAAATTAAGCATAAATGTCTCTTCAAAATGCTCCATATTAATATAACCTTGACACTGTTATATTTTCACGATTGATACCATGTTTTTGTTTTTGTTTTTTTGCCATGTTTTTAGCCAGGGCAAATGCTTGTTGAACATTTTCAGTTTAAACAAGAGCTGAATTTGAAACTATTAATGAAATTCCTGATATGCCACATTCTCAGAATCTGCACATGGCCAGAATTATCAAAGAGCTAATGGGAGAGGCATAACCTTGTCCATGTGCTTAGGAAGAATTACGAACCTATATAAAAAGTCACTTCCTTTCCCCTCAGACTCGGAAAGGAGGAGGGCGGCTGGACTCCACGGGGGATGGGCTATAGTCAAAGGCATCTTACTCAGAACCCAGTTCATAGTGAGCTCAGGCAGACATCCCCCTCAGGCGCTGTCCTGTTGTTCCAGCAGCTCCATTTCAGTTAAATGTGATTCCTGTGTCCTGAGGGGTGACCCATGCAATCCCGTGGACAGAGGGGTGGCTCATTCCCAATGACTCATCTCAGCAGAGTGTACATCAGTGGAATGTGCAATTCCTGGAAACACTGGGCCATAATTGGAATGGAGCAAGGAGCAAGGAGCAAATCTTATAGTTTGGAAGGCTCCCCTCAATGTAGTCCGCTGAGTAATTTATGGTAAGTTTTGCTTACAAGTACTAGCAAGGAAACTGATAACTAAGATGGTCCTTGCAGGGTCAGAGTGTTATTATTAAGAGTCATAACAAAAAGAGCACTGAGGGGCAGTTCCGGTGGGGGCGGCCTCCCCAGGACAACATGCCTCTCACTAGGCCCTTCTTCACCCCGCTCCAGAAGAGGAGCAGCGGGAACACCAGAAGCACCTGGTGCAGAGCCCCAGTTCCCACTTCATGCCTGTGACACGCCCAGGACGCTATAAAACCACCACTTGTTGGCCCTGCACAAAAGGCCGTTTCCTGTGTAGGCTGCTCACTGTCCTCTGTCGGTCAACAGGAGGAAAAGCAAGGCTGACAGAGGATGCTCTTTCAGAAGCAAGCAGCACTGAAAGCACTCCGAATCAAGATGAGTAGGGAACCAGCCCACATTTTGGATAAAAAATAAAGTACTTAAGGGCAAAACTGTTGCCGTGCCAAGCAAGTAGCTTGAAATAATGTTCCCCCCTGATCTTGCTATGTTGGAATCTCTCAGATTTTTTCTGTCATTGTTTTACTCTCTCACTATGTGACCTTGAACACATTCCTTAGCCTCTCTCTCTCTCTCTCTCTCTCACTCTCTCTCTCTCTCTCTCCCCCCCCTCATTTTTATCTTCACAATGGGGAATATTAATAGTACCTATTTCTTGGCAGTGTTATATGAATTCATCAAAGTAATGTTTACAACACTTTTAGAAGAGTGCCTAGAATATGGTGTTAACAAAAGTGTTTGTTTAATAAATTAATGAATAAATAAGATAGCCCTTGCTCACACTGAAGTCCTTCAATGCAACAATAGACCTCTTGATGATATCGCATGGCAAAAACACAGAAAATAATGCTCAGGGAGGGAGCCTCAGGCATGGCAGGACATTGAAGGAGAAGAAGAAACAGAACATTTTCATGAGAAATAAAAGTGAATGTGATGGAAAACTCCCCTATTATTGGAGGAAATGTAAAATGACGCAGCCCTTTCGAAAACAGTTTAGCAGTACCTCAAAAAGTTAAACACAGAGTTACCATATGACCCAGCAATTCCACTCTTAGGTCTATACCCCAAAGAATTGAAAGCAGGTACTCAATAACCAAAAGATGGAAACAACCAAATGTTCATTAGCTTATGACTGAATAAACAAATGTGGTCTATCCGTATAATAGACTATTATTCCGTCATACAAGAGAACAAAGTGCTGATAAATGGTGCAACGTGGATGAACCTGGGAAACAGTTTACTGAGTGAAAGAAACCAGACACAAAAGGTCCCACGTCCCACGATTCTACTTATAGGGACTATCCAGCATTGGTAATTCATAGCCACTGAAGGCAGGTTGGTGGCTGTTCAGAGCTGGGTAATTGGGGAGTAACTGCTTAATGGGTGGAGGGTTTTCTTTTCTGGTGGTAAACATGTTTGGAACTAGAGAGTGGCAGTGGTTGCACAAGTTTGTGAATGTACTAAATGCCATTGAATTGTTCAGTTTATAAGGGTTCATTTTATGTTTAGTAAGTCTTACATCATAAAAAATCATACATACGTAAGTGGGACCAGAGTGAGTGCTGTGTTTGTTCTCGTTGAGAATACAGAACATTCCAGACTCCTCTTCCACTCACCAGAAACCTTATTTGAGAAAGTTATCTAATGGCCATCCCCTCTGGGCCCTGGTTTCAGTATCTGTAAGAAAATGGAAGTGGACTGGGTGATTACGAGGAGCCCTTTCATTTCAAATTCTAAGGCAGAGAAATTCAACACCCCTCTTTTCTCCCTGTCTCATCCACAGGCTTGGAAACAACTGCATCTGAACTGCAGATGTATACTGGAAGACAATGAATGTTGTAATTAAATTATAGGGAAATTAATTTGTTTTAGTTATTCGTTATAATATTAGTTATTACAATGACACAAATTAATGGGCAAATAACTAAAACAAATGCACGTTAGCAATGAGCTTGGAGTTTGCCACTGTGATACTTAGGCTCGGAGCCCATGCACGGCTCCAGCCTGTCTGTACCCTCCATGTAAGCACACACTGTGCTTTTGCCAGTCACAGTATCTCAAGCTCTCCAGCCAAGTGCAGTGCTGGCAGAATCACGTTGATTGGGAGGCCCTTGATTGATTAATCAGTGCCTTGCCAAGCAGGATGGTGACGAGAAATTAAATACCCTTCTGAACGGCCTACTCTTTGCAACCAAGTAATCTAGAACAGCTCGAGGCCATCAATCATTAGAACATGCCATAGACCACTGCTCTAATTACAACTAGACTAGTTAGAACTTTACTCTAAAATTATTGAAATGTTATTTGAATAGTAATTTGAATAGTAAGCCAAATTTACCCAGTCCTGGGACTTAAAGTCTGGGAGGTGGGTATGTAATTTTCTGCATATTACCCATCACAGCATGAGTCCACAAGTTGTTGAGGACAGGCCATTGTGAACATCACTAATTCGTGTAGTTGCTAGGAGTCAGAGCCGTCTCAATGGCGCATGGCACACACACCTCCACTACTGCTACTGCAGGTTACCGGTCTTCTGTAAATTCCTTCCTAATGATTCCTAGGAGTCTCAGGTGCATCTACATAGACTTCAGCTGGAAGCATTTCAGCCATCTACCAAGGTTTATCAGTCACCCCCCACCCCTTAAATTCTGGTTTCTTCAGGGATATCTACTTTGGAGGTCTACAACAGTCCCCAAAGCTGCACCAACCGGAAGCCACAGTCTATCCAGGCCCACATTGTTAGATAACTATTAGCTGCTAATTTCAGGAGGTCCAAGCATGTGGGCTCCCGGCCTCATGGAGCAGCTGAGAGAATTTAGATAGCGCCTTGAGGCTGGCCAAGTCAAGCCTCCTGAAAGGTCATACCAACGACTTACCCTCTTGGCTGAGAGCCTCTCTCAATATAACTGGAAGTTCCACCAGTTTCCCATTGACTACTCTTCTTGAACGTTCCTTCTAGCTACTTCTTTCCATCACGGAGCAGCAGCGTCCCTTTCCTCTTCCACTCTTTGTTCTTGGCCTGGACTTCATTCTGTTCCTCCTTTCATATTTCTCCTCTCACATGCAGAGAGGAGAAGGCTATAGGAAGGAGAATAAAAGTGAAAAAGCTGGAGGGGATTGTGTACAAATTAAGCAATGCCTGTAAACCCTGTACATCCTTCTATTCAACTTAGATGAAGAAACTGAGTGCAAATTACTGTAAAATTAAAAATATGAAAATAGCTTTGCATCCAACTTATGAATCTTGTTTTCCTGATTTTGATCTCTGGTGTTCATTAGGAAATAAATAAAATAAAAAAAACCCATAAAGCAGTCAGCTTATCTTTGGGTAACTAAAAACTCTTCTGGTCGTCCTGACCAGTTTGGCTCAGTGGATGGAGCATCGGCCTGCGGACTGAAGGGTCCCGGGTTTGATTCTGGTCAAGGGCATGTACCTTGGTTGTGGGCACATCCCCAGTGGGGGTGGGCAGGGGGCAGCTGATCGATGTTTCTCTCTCATCGATGTTTCTAACTCTCTATCCCTCTCCCTTCCTCTCTGTAAAAAATCAATAAAATATATTAAAAAACAAAAAACAAAACAAAACTCTTCTGGTGATATTCCTCCCTCCCTTCCTGTAGGGAAAGTGAGATGAGAACATAGTCTATATTTTGGGCGATATACCTAAACTGGCTGTTACACAAGCATGTGATTAATTTTGAAGGCTGACTTTCAGAACACCATATTTGAGTAAACTTGAAAGATAAGTCAATGAAAACATCCAGCAAAGCAAAATAGATATTTTCCCGTTTCAATCAGATATCAGATATGACCCAGCATTTCTTCATCCCATTTCAATCAGATATCAGATATGACCCAACATTTCTTCATGTTCAACCCTCTGAACACAGAGGGTCTTGAATACAGTAGTGGTTAGCGAAATGTTTGTTAATTTTAGTTAAAATGGAATTTCTCTCAGTCGCTCAGTGGCTTGAACTTCCTGACTTGAGGAAAAGGGAATAAGGAAAGGCATCATGATGATAAAGCTAGAAAGAGATCACTATTTAAAATACAGATAATTTGTTCCTGGGTTTATTACTTTGTTCAAAAGCCTGTGAGGTGAGCAGCCAGAATGTGGCAGTAAACTGTGCTATTAATTCCATTTATATTTTCAGAGCTGGGAGTCTGGTTTTCAAGTTTGTTCTTGGACTTTATGCAAAACATATGCAAATCTATAGCATTCTAAAATCCCGTCTCTTTGCCAGCCCCTCCCCTAGTCACAAACAGCCCGGGCTGCGGAGTGGTGGACCCCGGCGGGGGTGATGGGCGGGGATGGGGGGAGTGGGGGAAGGGCTGTCCGCGAGGCGGTCCAGGGGCGGAGCCTGGGCGGGGCTGGTGACGCGCCGAGTTGGCCGGCTGCGGGGCTGGACCTCAGCCTTTCCCCGCCTGGGGCCGCCGCCGCACCATTGGTTGCTCCGCGTCTCCAAAAGGGGCCCTTGGACGCCTCACTGGGTCAGTCTGGTGCTGGGTGGTGGAACTCCCCACAACTCCCGCTGGTCCGGAACTGGATCCCTTCTTCCCAGAGTTGCGAGCAACTTTCCCGTCTCCCTGGCGCTGCAGTGGCTCGGGGACCGGGGCAGCCGCTGGTAGCTGAACCCAGGGCCACGCTACCCGCGCCCCGGCTGAGCGCGCGCGTTGGTCTCTCTCTCTCTCGGTGCACGCTGGGGGTCCCGGAGCTCCGCTCTGCCGGGGAGATGCCTCTGGGACACATCATGAGGCTGGATCTGGAGAAAATCGCCCTGGAGTACATCGTGCCCTGTCTGCACGAAGTCGGCTTCTGCTACCTGGACAACTTCCTTGGCGAGGTGGTGGGCGACTGCGTCCTGGAGCGCGTCAAGCAGCTGCACAGCAACGGAGTCCTGCGGGACGGCCAGCTGGCCGGGCCGCGCGCAGGCGTCTCCAAGCGGCACCTGAGGGGCGACCAGATCACGTGGATCGGGGGCAATGAGGAGGGCTGCGAAGCCATCAGCTTTCTCCTGTCCCTCATCGACAGGCTGGTCCTGTACTGCGGGAGCCGGCTGGGCAAATACTACGTCAAGGAGAGGTCCAAGGTAGGACGCGCGCGGGCGCCCCACCGCTGCTGCAGCCCGCAGGGACCGGAGACATGCGGAGTCTGTTGTCTGTCGCCTTCGCAGGGCTACAAGCGAACTTTAGGTTTTAACCAAGAAGCAAGAAAGAAGTCAGTCTGGTCTTCCCATCCCCCAGGGAAAATCCATGCTAAGGGACTTAGGTGTATCATTATAATGACCTTCTGATAACTTTGAAATAATGGCTCTGGTGGGTGGTACAAGCCGGACAAGCTGTGGCTTTTTGGTCTGATTTTAAGACGTGGAGGTTCTCAAAAGTCCATACGAGGGACAGGTTGTTAGAAAGATGGTGTATGTTCCGAGACACACGTGAACTCATGATCTTAACTGTCTACTTTAAAGTCACCTAATATTTGCCCTTCATTGATTCCAAAGGGGATTCCCATGACCGCACTTTTAAAGAATGCTGGAGACAGCTGTGATTTTGCAATGTGGCATTTGGTTTGTGGAGTTTGGCAGGTGTGGAAAGAGTTTGCCCGGTGAAAGAGTAAAGCTCCTCTTCACTTTTGAGTGCTGCCCTTGGCTTGTTGCACTCAGGACACTTAGATCATAATGAACTGTTTGACTGAAAATTCTCTCCTGGTGCTGAGCCCACACCACCACCTTCCCTTTCCTAACTTGCAGTTGATGGGGAAATCTACTCAAAATCACCGGTTATGCCCTACCCGGTTTGGCTCAGTGGATAAGACCGTGGACCTGCGGACTGAAGGGTCCCAGGTTCCATTCCGGTCAAGGGTATGTACCTTGGTTGCGGGCACATCCCCAGTAGGGGGTGTGCAGGAGGCAGCTGATTGATGTTTCTAACTCTCTATCCCTCTCCCTTTCTCTCTGTAAAAAATCAATAAAATATATATTTTTAAAAATACACTGGTTATGTGATCAGAATAGGGTAGTCAAGTACCTCTGGAAAGAAATGATGTTTTCGTTCACAGCCAGAAGTGACTCCCTGGGTAGAAATTTATCTTGGAAACATTTAGAGGTAGGTTGGCAGAAATGTGGGAACATGTAGTGCCATGTACATTCATTTGGGATAGTCTAGCCACTCAGTCTTTTCTACAAATGACAATCCAGCCTGCTTTCCAGTGGCAGTTCTGAGAGTGATTTGCATTTCTTTTATTGTGGACTGGCCAAGGGGCACTCAGAACTGTAGGAAACTTGCACTTTAACACAGCAAGGCTACACATACTAGCGTGAGAAGGAAGGTGAACATTCACCTCTGTACCATTCTTTAACCACATAGGTAGTATTTCTCAATTTAAGATTCATCCTGTGATAACATACCTTGTTGTCTCATTTATTCCATAAGCTGAGAGGAGCACTCTTAATATAGTGCAAGTAGTGAAGACTGGAAATGTATAGAAATGAAGGGGTTGGAGTGGGTGAATGGAGTAGAGGAGAAATAGATTGCTTTCAAACTAGGGGGACATGAATAGAATATCAGAAGACATTGTTATTAATCTGACACAAAAAGTAAATCTTAGAAAAAAATGCTGCTTTCTAACTTTGCTTTGGGGAAAATTCAGAGTTAGCAGGAATCAGTAGACGATGTTATTGTTTCTCTACTCTTCCATCATTTGGGTGGTGGATGAGAAAGTTGTTTGTCTTGATCAGTCTTATATTTGCACCTTGCCCGTCTGGGGCCCCGTGGGGGAGGGGAGGGGAGGGAAATGGCTAGCCTCAGTATTGCAGAGGTGCTTGTAGCTTCAACTTGGAAGAGCAGATGGCTTCTTACCAGTTTTTAAAACTTTCTTTTAAACTTAGGCTGAGGAATCCTCCCCTCCCCCCACCTCCCTCGGCATTCTAGGAACAGAATTCGCTTTGAAGGAGGTCAGAATTAATTGGCAGAAAGAGGTCACTAACATGTTTGAATGTTAAGTATTTTTATTTAGCTTTGACTTAATGAACAGTGGTAGGGTTTTACTCCAAGTGTTAGCTCCACAAAGGGAATGAAAAGCACTGAGTATGTCTGGCTAAGGACAAGATTTATAAATATGATTTTTCAATTATGGATTATCTTCTGGGTAGAACAAATAACTTTTCAGTTCAGTTAACAGAACATGACTGTGAATTGAAAAGAGGAAATACATCTGTTGTCCATGGAAGAGACATCTGTCTGCCCATACCTAGATGTCCAACTCTCCTTTGGCTATTTTGACACAAAACTCTTCACTCCTTCCCTTTAGAAAAATCACCTCTAGATTGGGATATTCCCAACCAATGAGAACCAAATGCAAACCAGGTTTGAGCAAACAGTTGTTATAGTAAATTTTTTTTTAAAGTTTGATTTGCTTGTATAAAGAAGTCTCTTTAGTAATGTCTGTGGCCTTGGGTCTCTTGTTTGAAGTTCATTATTAAAGCATTGTAGGAAAAACACATTGCATTTCTACATGATTTATATTAGTTTCATCTTAATTTAACCTATTTACTTGTCTTGCTTCAACTGAGTACCTTACCCTTCTGCTTCCCAGAGTAATGATATAGACCCACTTTTTTCATACCCAGTTTTAGAAAAACTGAATTTTTAAAAAGCAGAACATGTAAATTTATTTTAAAAATTTATTTGTAACTTTTTATGAAAAATTTCAAACATATTAATTTAGAGAGGCTAGTATAATGAACTCCCATCCCCCATTTTCAACATTTGCCAATGCATACATTTATTTCAGACCAATTCTTTTTCAGGTACTTTAAATTTCTGTGCTTATTAGTGTATTGACTCTAATTAAGTACTTTTTCCCCTGGATTTTTAAAGGTCATTGAATAATGTAATAATGCCCTGTATCTCAATGAAGCAATAGCAAAGGCATTGGTAATAAAATAGGAATATAATACTGGAATTGAAATGGAAATTGTGGAAGGATATGGAAATAAATATTCCAGGATCCCCTCTTTCCTGCCAAAAAGGTTATTACAGGTCAGAATTTATCTACCTCCACTTTGTTGGAGAAAAGTCCTAGGGTGGTGAAGACTCTGGGGCAGTGGTTTCCTATAATGTAGTACAGCAGTATGGCGCCCCCTAACTGCAAGCATGATCATTGCTTTCAGGCTATCAAAAGATTTATCTGCTACTTCCTTTTGGAGACTTTAGACTATATCCAAGATAAATATTGGTTATAAATTGCTCCTTTTGTTTTGGCTGCCTAGAAATGGCTATTTTCCAGCGAACATGTAACTTATAGAACTGAATGTTCTGCTTGAAGCATCTCATTATAGACTCACTAGTGAGTAACTAATAACTACACTTTAATGAGCAGTTTGCTCTGTCTGGCATTGTACTAATAAGCACTTTAAAAACACTGTCTGTCTGACTTAGTCTTCAAAACCACAATCTTCAGCAAATTGAGTGATTAAATCATTTACCAAAGGTCACAAAGTCAGTGGTAAGAAGCAGTTTATCATAAAAGTTAGGACAAACTCACAGATACAGACAATAGCATGGGAATTACCAGAGAGGAAGGGGGTTAGGAGGAGGTAGAAGAGGGTACAGGAAGGAGATTTGATTTGGGGTGGTAAACAGCACAATTTACAGATGATGCATTACAGAACTGTACACCTGAAACCTATATAATTTTATTAATCAATGTCACCCCAATAAAGTTAATAAAAAATTAAAATAAAATAAAAGTTAGGAGCTTATGCCGGGGGTTACTGACCCTGTAGGTAAGTTGCTCAATTTTTACCAAGTGTTAAAGCTTTTCAGGGAGGGAGCATTAGATAAGATAATGTACTTAAAATTCCTAGCAGGATTCTAAGCCTTCATAAATGTTATAGGCTGTCAGTGGAAGACTTGGGATTCTAACCCAGTTCTGTCTGACTCCAGAGTTTGTGTTCTTGACTATGATGCTCCTAGTTTTCATCCTTTCATTTATTCAGCAAGTGCTCACTCAGCGTGGGATACTGTGCAAGGCTTGAGGTACAAAGGTGAGCAGGCATAATCCCTGCCTCATGGGGCTTAACATTCACTTGTGCATTTGAATGCAGGATCCTCTAGTTCACACTTGATTAATTCTCAAGCCTAAAAAAGAAAAAAGACAAAACCCAAACATTGCAGTGGGTCAGCTACATACATTTGAGGAAGAAAATGGAGGCTGTGCTAATGCTTCCCTACTGTTACTAGCAGGGAGAGTTTGTTAACAAGGTTGCTTGCTAGGACCCCTGACTAGAGGAGTTCTGGCCATGGGGTTATGTGGGTTGTATTGTGCACAGACAGATCAGCCCTCCTGTGGAAACAATGCAGAGAAGTGATGAAACAGCAATAAGTTATGAATAAAAGAAAAAGTGTTGTGAAGTGGTGGGTTTGTTCCTTTGCTATTTAGCAATAAGTTTGGCCCACCCTTCTCATGTGATGTCAGGAGTATCCCTTACTCAGTGGAACTTTTCATGGTTGCAAACTGCTTTAAGCAAAAATGGGATAATGTATGTTGAAGATCAGGCTCTCTCTCAGGAGCCAAGTGCAGGAAATGCAGTCATGGTTCACAGAAGGGTAGGTGGAGCCATGAACTATGAACCAGCAAGTCCTAATTACCCAGGGAAGCTTGGGTGTTAGTTCTTTTCTCTGGTGCTTTATGGCCTCCATCTTTGCTTCTCTGCTCATGCCCTTTATTTCTCCCCCGCTCTCTGTACCATCCAGCTTTTTCTGCTTTTCCATGTACGTGGCTCAAAATGGCGCCCTCCCCCACGTGGCCACCTCAGCCTCAGTCTGAGATCAGCAAACACTTGACCAACATTCTAGAATCTCCTTTTCATCAGCCTTGGCTGGGGAGGTAGAGGGGCATGTGAAATCATAGATCATAACTATGGTTGTCTGGACCCCTGAGAAGTGCAGTTCTTAAAGCATGGGGCTTGAGGACTAGATCCAGAAACGGTGTCTCTGTAATTAAAAATCTTAAAAATCTGTCTGAGCTATTTTAGGGGGAGGAGGCACTGAGTTTGAAAGACTGGAACATTTTTCTGTAAGGATGTGAGGGATTCCTATAAAAGGTTTTGTATTTAAAAATAACTTAGCTCTTGGAGGAAGGAAATTAATCCAAGGAAATAATTTACAGAATTCAGCGTCAGTGACAGTGAAGCCAGTTTCTCCATTGGGTGGTTTTCATAGTGTCTTTTGTCTGTTCTGTTGAGTAACACTTGGGAACAAAGAAAAGAAGATAGGCGTGTGTGCGTATGTGTGTGTACTTTATAATTTCTTTTGTTCACTTTTGGGCCACTGGCCACTCAACCACTACTTTATCTGCTTGCAGTGAAGTGGAAAGTCAGGGGGTATCAATTTAATTTATTAATTGACAAATTGTTAAATGTCTTGTACTGTGGGAGACCTGTAAGTGGCTGGGAGAAGGGAGGTGAAAAGTGATTATAAAACCACCTAAAGAAGCTGAAAGTTGAGTGGTGTGAAGTGGTTGTCACCAACTTTGCTTTCTCTTTTCTAATTAAACTGCACTTTTACACTGATTAGTCACTTTTGTTTCTCTTCTTCAGGCTTTCTCCAATTTCTTTAAAATTAAGTGATCAACATTAGTAACCAAAACTATACCAAACTTTAATGATACAAGTTTTTAGAGCTAAAGAGAAGTATCAGAAATCACATCTCTCCAGTCATTCAATCATTCAGCAGTTTTAATATCTGGAGAGATGAGGTCTTGCAAGGGATTGGGGTCCTGGGCCTAAGCAAAGGTGCTTTAGTGGAGGGGGGCTACCCTGGCTGGGGTTGCTCCCTGAGTCAGGTAGACTGCGAGACAGGGTCGGTAGGTTAATTCAGCTGCATGAGCATTTTATTTGTGAATTTCAAATATAATTCTAATTTAAAATTGACAAACATCCTTTCATGGGGTTATATAAGCCTATCTATACATTCAACTTTTGGGTGTCATGAATTATTTCCTTTTCTGACCTCACTCAGCCCAGAGCAATTTTGTACATTCTTTTCTTTCTTTCTTTTTTTTTTTAAAAAAATATATTTATATTGATTTCAGAGAAGAAGGGAGAGGGAGAGATAGAAACATCAATGATGAGAGATAATCATTGATCGGCTGCCTCCTGCACGCCCCCTACTGGAGGTTGAGCCTCCAACCTGGACATGTGCCCTTGACCAGAATTGAACCAGGACCCTTCATCCACAGACTGATGCTTTATCTACTGAGCCAAACCGGCTCGGACTATGCGTTGTTTTCTGATTCCTGACTCTGACTAGAAAGATTTCAGATTTTATAAATAACAGGCAGCCTTGCATGTTACGGCTCCATTCTGAAAACACACCATGTGTGGAAGACATCTCGGATAGCAGATGGGGATAGGGTTTGTCCCATAATGAGCAGGGCACCTCTGAGAAGCATCTCTAAGCACCCCAGCATCGTGCATTTCATTAGAAAGCTTAGAGGGCATCTCCACTGTGGGCGGCCTTTGCTGAGTTTGGCAAGACCTCTCTGCTTTGGACTCACCTTTGTAGCCGCAGTTAAATTAAGTGACGTTTTGACCTGTGCCTATTGAATCCTAAGGAGCAGCTTGCGGGTTCACACTATGGAGAAGATTATTAATTCTTTGTTAATTGTTACTGCAACAGACTTGATAATTCCTTTGTAGCACCACTTTGTAACTGTTAACTAATATTGCTCCAAGAAATGGGTGTCATTTTTCTGTAGTGTTTGTCAAATGCACATGTTTTGACAGTAATGATAGTTCAGATGTATTCTGCTGGGCAACTGCCAGGGGTGCCCAGCGGGTAGCTGAATCCAGAGGCACTGGAATTGTAAGTGTGACAGGCAAATCATTTTATGATGCCAGACTAAGGAATTCAGCTTTGGCAGATTGCCCGGAGCCGTTGATTTGGCTCAGATTCAGAGCTATGTGTCCATTTGCCAAGAGATTAGTTAGCTCAGCTCATTATACATAGAATTTATACCCCACTTCCCTCCATTATTTCAATCTTCAACCAGTATGCCTCTTACCTTAATTTTGTATCTTTTGATATTGGGATTTGTGGATGAGTTCCTCTGTTTGTTTTTGGTGAGCTGGTAGTGACTGTTATATTTTTCACCTCCTGCCCCAACCCAGTCCCAGTCTTACAGACACGTGGGTTTGCAGTTGTGTACTGCAGACTTTCAGGTCTTGTGCTGGATTCATTCTGTACCTACTTACTGAGAGTACTCCATGTTCAGTACCATGTCAATACCTTCCTTATTAAGTCAAGACATTTTTTGATTCTTTAGGGAGATACAATGATCAACATTTCTTAATTTGTGAAGTAAATGTATCAACCTCATGTTAAATATTGTTTCCTTCCGACATGAATTTGCAAAATGCAAAGTATCAAGAATCCGACAGCCATCTTGATTATTTGCCAGTGGGAAGAAGATAAAATGGAAAACTCAGTTCCAGGTGTCAGTGACGTCTATTTTGGTTCTCTAAGGGAACTTGAAGTTGTTCTGGAGTATTCAGGATCATACTCTTCTATTTGAGTATTGCTTGGAAGCAGTAAACATACAGTGTTTTAAACAGTTTGAACATCCTTTGGACCTTGCTCTGTGTTCTCCAGACCCAGAACAAGAATCTGCCTGTGCCCCTCCCTCCAGATCCCCTCCCATTTCTACTCATCTGTCTAGTCCAGGGGTCCTCAAACTTTATAAACAGGGGGCCAGGCCAGTTCACTGTCCCTCAGACCGTTGGAGGGCCGGACTATAGTTTAAAAAAAAACTATGAACAAATTCCTATGCACACTGCACATATCTTATTTTGAAGTAAAAAAACAAAACGGGAACAAATACAATATTTGTATTTGCATGTGGCCCGCGGCCCGTAGTTTGAGGAACCCTGGTCTAGTCAAACCTGAGGGACTATTACTCAGAAATCTCAATACCTTACACAAAATTGACAGTGAGTCTTTTTGTTTGTTTGGTTTTTGGATGGCTTTTTTCCTATTCATATTGTTTTTGAGTGATGGGAGTAGATAAGTAAAGCCTTTTTAAAGCACAAAATATTGAAGATTCAGGCAGGAACATGCAATATTATTGGTCAAAGTTTGGCCTATTTTGTGCCATTTTCGCTTTTTATTATGTTTGTTTTTTAGGTTCACTGTGGAGCCTCAAGTTTTGTCTTTTCTTAAAAAACTGAATTTTGTTTTCCTTTCATAGTAGAAATCCTTGAGGAGGAAAGCATTTTAAAGAGACTTAGTTTAACCATAACTCACCTCCCTTTTGTTTTCATTCTCCCTGTAATCCATTTTCATGTGCTTTTGTCAGAGTGTAAACGGCCCCAAACCCATCTCTAATCGTGCAGTCTCTGTGCTTAAAAACCCCCAACCGGGCTCTGTCCCTATTGTCCACTCTACGTGCTGTGTACTTCCTAGTGTGCCACGTAAGGCCTTCCACATCTGACCCCAACTGACCCCATCTGACCCCATTGACCTTTCTATACTTAATCTGCTCACCTCTTTCCTTCTCTCCCAATCCCTGAAATGCTAGGAACTGATTTTGCCAGGCACACGGAGCTTCCCATTGTTTCTACTCTTCAGGATCCATCTTAGTGCCTTCTCCATGAAGTTTTCCCTTCTGCTCCCTAGAACTCTGTGGGTGGCTCAGTCCAGGCTGCCCTAGTACGTTTATTTTTTTGGCTGCTTCCTCTAATCCAGCAGTTACTTAAAAATTCCATTAAGGCAGATATATAAACTTAATATATACTTTCAGTGCCTTGAACAGTCCTTTACAATTCATAGGTGCTTGTTGACTTAATTTCATTTTCAAAAGGAACTTTGATTTCAAAGGATGTCAGGATGTCAAAAAAAAAAAAAAGGTTTTGCAGCATGGTCCCTAATTTGATGTCATAATGTTTAAGTATTGTATTACATTAACATGCTACAAGGAACCATCTTAAAGGAGGGGCTTTAGCTTTGTGAGATTCTTTCCTCTGTTTTGGAATTCCATGCCTGGCCCTGGCTTTGGAAACTCACCATAGAAGTACAGGAAGCAAGACACAATAGAGACGATGAAGATGTCAAGAAGGCAGTGAATGAATATGATGGCATCCTGGAGACGTATATTCCTGTATTGATGGCCCAGGCAGAAAATCTACTGGAACCTCGAAAGTTATTCAATGGTAGAAGAGATCTTTCGCAAATCTGTGGAATTCTGCAATGAGCATGATGTGTGGAAGCTGAATGTGGCTCATGTTCTCTTCACAAAAACAAACACAAAGACGCCATCGGTTTTTATGAGCCCGTAGTCAAGAAGCACTATGACAACATCCTGAATGTCAGTGCTACTGTACTGGCTCACCTCTGTGTTTCATACATTATGACAAGTCAAAATGAAGAAGCTGAGGAGTTGATGAGGAAGCCTGAAAAGGAGGAAGATTGGCTCTCCTATGATGACCCAGATGAGAAAAACTACCATCTGTGGATTTGCTGATAGGGACACTTTACTGTGCCAAAGGAAATTATGACTTTGGGATTTCTCGAGTTATCAAAAGCTTGGAACCTTATAATAAAAAACTTGGAACTGATACCTGGTATTATGCCAAAAGACGCTTCTTGTCTTTATTACAGAACATGTCATAACACATGATCATGTTTTGTGAGAGTGTTACTCAAGAATGTGTTCAGTTTCTAGAACACTGTGAACTTCATGGCGGGAATGTACCTGCCATTATTGAACAACTCCTAGAAGAGGAAAGAACACATATTGGAAAGAATGCAGTCACATATGAATTCAGACAGTTAAAAGCTTTGATTTATGAGATTATAGGATGGACTATGTAGTCATGTCTGTTAATGGTTTGCATCATAATGGCTTTATATCTGTATTTTGTACTGTTTTATTTGTATTTAGCCATTGGTATCTTTACTTTGTTACATGTTGAACTTTGTATACTTTACAATTATTTAATTAAAAAAAGAAGAAGAAAAGAAAAGCCCAGCTGGTGTGGTTCAGAGGTTGAGTGTCTATCTGTGAACCAGGAGGTCACAGTTCGATTCTCAGTCAGGGGGTTGTGGGCTCAATCCCCAGTAGGGAGTGGGCAGGAGGCAGCCGATCAATGATGGTCATCATTTATGTTCCTATCTCTTTCTCCCTCTCGGTTCTGATTCTCTGAAATCAATAAAAAATGTTTTAAAAAAGGGGAAAAAAAAGAAAAGTGAGACAAAATTTTCATATGAAAGGACAAATAGGTACTTTCAGTGCCTCTCATTGGATTCCCGAAGAGAGCTGGCTCTACCAACAGTCACACCCCAGGGAGGGTGACTGCCATGACAGTAATCCTCCGCAATTGGACAGAGTTACAATTGCAATGTTTCCTGCCAGCTTGAGGAATCGCACTGCTGAACCTGTGCCAGAAGCTGCCCTAGGAATTCCCCTTGCTCCCTGCTCTCCCCACCACCTCCTGTTCTCCAAATTAATAGTGCAGCTGACTGTTTACCTTTTATCTCTTAGGGGGAGGCATCGCTCCAGAACTCTTGGTTTTGCCACTTTTTGTGTCTGATTCTCATTTTCTATGTTTGTAAAATGGGGCTTGTATCTATCTTGAAGGAACAGGGGGCAATTAAATTAACCATTCCTGCTCCCCAGACTCAGAGGCAGGCACGCCTTTATTTCTAGTCCCCTTTCTGCTCCCCAAAATACTTTACACATTTCTCTCAGACGATCTTTTGACTTTCTACCACTCTTGAGAGGTTTTCTGGATCTCACCCTTCCTGAAAGCCACAGTGGGTCTGTATCCATTGTGTTCTAATTAATGTAATTTTAGCAAGTTCTGTATTCAGTGAGTACTAATTAACATGGTAGTAGAGGGCGAAGATGTCTCCTAAACAAGTGTTGCACCCAGTGAGGAAAATTTATCCCATCCTGTGTCTTCCCAAGGGAGGCACAATTTTGTATTTACTTGAAAATTTTTTCTTAATTGGTAATTTATCTCCTGACTTTGAAACAAGTCTGAGATGCTTGCCTGCTGTGGACCTGTGCTGACAAGGACAGGTCCTGGAGGGGCTGCTTTCCTCCCATCCAACCTGGCAGGGGCAGAGCAGCCTGCGGCTCAGACTTGAGCTGACTTTTGACCAATTGCATGTGAAGCAGGGGCTACGAAAGTACACTGTGGGATGGATCGGGCCTGTCCTGCAGTGAGTAACCGAAGCAAAGACAACTCGGACAACTAGTTAGTGCTTTGCCACAGGATTCAGAGTCAATTTCCTTTGCAAGGATCCTTGCTTTTGTTATACTCCCAACCCTCACCCCCCGAGCATTTAGTGCATAGACTCAATTGAAAGCACACTCATTTTTCATATTTTTGCGTTTTGTGATTTTCTATCATTATGGAAAGGATGGTAGGCCAGGGTAAGAGGGAATCAAATACTTCAAGTGGAACTGAAGATCTTAGTTCCCTCAAAAATGGGGTGAATTGATTAATGTTAGACATTAGATAAGCGGTTCTCAACCTGTGGGTCGCGACCCCTTTGGCGGTCGAATGACCCTTTCACAGGGGTCGCCTAAGACCATCCTGCATATCAGATATTTACATTACGATTCATAACAGTAGCAACATTACAGTTATGAAGTAGCAACGAAAATAATGTTATGGTTGGGTCACAACATGAGGAACTTTATTTAAAAGGCCAGAAGGTTGAGAACCACTGCATTAGATAGACTGCCCTGGTAGAATATGATTTGGATATTAAGGCCTCCCACTCTGCAGCCAGGCTGACTGGGTTCAAAAAGACAAGTTACCTAACCTCCTTCTGCCTCAGTTTCTTCATCTGTAAAGTGGAGGCAGTAATGGTTTCTGCCTCATGAATATCGAATGAGGTAAGATTTGGGAAGCACAACACTATACAAATGTTTGTTCCATAAGTAAATATGCTTACTGATTTCATGAGTTCTAATTCTAACTGATTTGCTGTATGTCATTTCTTTCATTCAGCAGAAATATTTTTCCAAATGCTGAAATGCAAATAAATGTAAACGTAAGATTTGGTTTTCTAAAAAGTTTTTTGCCTTTATTTTTTTCTAGCAGTTTTGGTGTTCCAAGTTAATAGTTTTAAAATTCACTGGGAATTGCAGGCAAAGTGTTTTCCTGGTTTCTCTTTAAAATATTGCTTCCAGGCATTTTCCAGGGCATATTTTCATTGGTAACTATATTTTTTGTAGATTACCCATTAATAAAATCCTGTCTTAACATTTGTATTTAAGTTATCATCGATTCCCTAAAGTATTTCAGAATTTTCTTCAGATGAGAATTTAAAGACAACCATACTCTGACATTCTGACAGCCACAAACATCCTTTTTTTCTGTTACACTTGGAGCCTTTAGAGAGCTACAGGTACAGTTTTCTTTTTCAGAGAGGGCGGTTTCTCACATCAAAGGAAGTTAAATATTTTGACTCCCTATCCCCATGTAGCTTTAAGAATTACTCATGAATTTGTTTTTCTATAGAAATAAGATAACTTCTAGGTCCATATAACTTCCAGGGTTAATGACTTCTGAGAAATGAGCAGTGACTCATGCAGATGACTGCTGCTCACCCCTCTCCCTCCCCCGTCACTCCCCCACCTCTGTAACCAGGAAATTAAATGAGGTGAGATGTGTAAAGCACCACCTAAAGTACCGCCTGGTTCCATGGGTCCTCGGGAAATGGCAGCTGTTCCGATTTGGGGAAGGGTATCAGAGTGGATGTGGTTAAATGCCTGCTAATGTCCTCAACCCTGAGCCTGGCTTTTACCGATTTCATAATTGCAAGGAAGCCCTTATTCAAAACATGTCTCTGGTGACTGTGGTAGTGGCAGGGGGAGGGACGGGGGATGCTCTCCTATGCTTGTTCCCTCCCTGGTCCCGGGCTGTGTGCTGGGTGTGGGCTGGCTGCCACCCTCACGAAGCGCACGTAGCCCTGTCACTCAGCCGTCACCCAGCTGGCTGGGAGCCAGGCCGCCACGGGAAGGGCTGCCTTCCCCAACCCAAGCAGCCTGCATTGATAGGTGGATGTTCCCGGGCCTGTTTACTGTGCTTAATTGCAGGGCTCTGGCTGAATCCCCTCCAAGAGGAAGAATTAATCACAATTCAGGGAGGAATGACAATAGTCTCTCACATTCCTGGCCTCTGAGCGCTTCAGCGGCTTCTTGGGGAAGGGTGATTTACTTAAGTGCCTGCACAGAGTGCAGGAGCCCTGGAATAGAATCTTGATCTAAAGCAGTTAGCCGTTAAGGACCTGTGAGTCCTCTGTGACTGCGTGTATGTGTGCACATTTCCAGGGGTGGGGGTGGGAGCCCAGCCCTTTAATGTAAGAGTCTCATGGCACTGTTTTCACTGAGCTGGGAGAACTACATAGAAGGTTCCAGAGTCTTGGCAATTGTTGATGGTTGTGTGGATGACCCTGGATCTAGGACCCAGTTCACAGTAGAGTCAAACAAGGGCACCGATGAGAAGGTCTACCTGGGGACAGGTCTTCAAGTAAAGATGGTACAGTCCCTGCTCAGGGTGCTCTGGCCTGACCAGGGGGCCGGCAGACCCACTTCACCAGAGCCACTGGCTGTAATGTCTTACTTTTCATTTTCAGAATTACTGAAGGTTCTGCCTTCCAACAACATTCAGGAGTGGGGCATGGTGATGATTGTTCTGACTTGGAGATGAGGTTATGTGTGTCAAGCAGCGTTGTGGCTATGTGGGTTCAGAGGCATTTGTAGTGTGGAGGTGAGCAAATAGGGGGGCAGAAGTAGTTCTCAGTGTAGAAACAGAAGAATAGAAAGTACTTCAGTAAGTAACTTGGGGTTTGCTGAAAGGATTACAGTAAGTCCTCAATGTTGTCAATAGGTTCTGCGACTTTAAACAAAACCATATGTAATGAAACCAATTTTACCATGGGCTAATGAACGTAAAGCGTTACGTTCCTACGGCATCTCATCAATGTTAAAACAAAACGATGCTAGTCAAGCGGCTGCTGTACTTACCTGCCTGGTATTTGACTGGCGTTCTCAATCTCCGGAAACTTCTAGTCAGATGCTGAAACGTTGGGAAGGGGAATGTGGGGACTGGACTCAGCTCATGTTGTTGCCCCCGAAAGCATATTTCCTATTCCCTCCTCATTTTGTTACATTCATCTTTAACTAGAGGCACTAGGAGGAAATAGCGAGGCCTCTCTTAACCAGCAAGAGAGATGACAAACAAGATGCCAAGAGAGCTAATGACAGTTTGCACAAAGTTCCCTGCTTTTTTCTCTGAAGTACCTACATTGCCTACCGCTAATTTCTTTAGGCCAAGCTAGATGCAGTGAGGATGAATATGTACAAATTCTATGGCACTTTTGAAGCTTATGCGTTGTTCGTCATCACCTTGAGAGCTCGCTTTTTTGTTTGACTTCGCATAAAGGAGGCGGCTGGCAGCAATGTGAACTTTGTTTAAGGACGTCTCCTTGAAACTCCCGGAGAAAGCTTTGCACAGTTGTCATCAGCTTGTGACGATGCCCTGTGAATATTGTGCTGAAGTAATTTAATTTAAGTGGCAACAACGGGCCCCACAAGGTGTCCTTGAAGAGGCCATACCC